AACAAGTATGGAAAAGAATGTGAAGTCTGTTGCCACGATACCTAGGAATGATACCTCGTGATAAATCATTATTATCTAAAAAATTTATAAAACTTTGTGGATCGCCTTTTACATCTTTAAATCTCATTTTGTTTATAGCTAAAATAATCAAGGTTGCCGTGCTGTCATTTCCAAACAACTTGCATTTCTCATTCTCTAGAGACTTCAATGCTGAACGGTATGATGTATCAAGTGTCATTTGCACCCTCTTGATACAATTGTATCAAGAGGGTGCAAATGGCAGTTTAACTCATTTAGACTTTTACCCCAGGTTGCAAATACTTTGCTTATAGTAAGATGATTAACAGCAACTCGGTCAGACATTGTGTTTGAAATCTTATTTATAATTGAACTAAATTATTTGCTATAGCTGCAAGAATGAAAACGACAATAAATAAAAACCACATGTTCTATGGCATTGCATATATTGTTTTCACAATCATCAGCTTTTCCACCAGGTAGTTAGTCCAAAGCAACAACTAGGGATTTATCTTTTGACGTCAAGTGAATACTGTTAATATGAACACCTTCTTGTGTTGTAGCATCAAACCCAAGAGTAAGTTGACTATTGTTGATTGCCCATTCAGCTGCCTGCAAGCTTAAAATACTGCCAAGCTCAAGAGCCATTTGTTCAACGGAGTTGCGATGTGGTATATCAGAAAAAATAAAACCCATACATTGTCCAATTTTCTGAATCATAAAAGGAATGTTACCTGTTGGGACATTACATATTAACATATTATAAATAATCATTCTCATATGTAATGAATATGTTTTTGCTTCTTCATTCATTTCAAAAGTTCAAAAGTTTAGTTGCGCTCTCCTCTTTTTGAGGCAAGTTGTTTTCTAAATTAGCAATCATTTTTTTATTTTCCATTTTATCTGTGTTATGCTTTACGTTTATTTGCCCTATTATCTGTGTTATGTTTTACCTTTATTTGCTTCAACTTTTGTTTTTCATTATATTTTAATTTCTTTATTGTAGCTGTATGATTTCGAATTTGTCGAGTATAATAAGACATTTTCATTTTAGCTTTTAATTCTCTCAACTCCCTTCTTAAATCCTTTATAATATCTTCTTTTCTTTTCATACTTTGTCTTAAAAGTTTTAGTTTATATGGCATGCTATTTAATATATATATATATATATATATATATATATATATATATATATATATATATATATATATATATATATATATATATATATAATGATATCAATAGAACATTTTAAAATATTTTTATTACAAAAATTCATTTCTTAAAAGTTAAAAAATGCTATTTTGAATTATGGAAATTGTCAAAATTTTTATAAAACTTTTGTAGTTATAATACTATAAGGTATCCATGTCAAAGTATTAAAAATATTATTAACAATATATGAATATATTATTATAAGTAACTATTTGTTCATATATTATTCATAAATAATATATACATATATACACATATATATAATATAAATATATATATATATATATATATATATATATATATATATATATATATATATATATATATATATAATATAATATAAATATATATATATATATATATTTAAACAATTTAAAATGTATTCTACATTTTATATATATATATATATATATATATATATATATATATATATATATATATATATATATATATATATATAAATTGTTATAAATATAAATAAGTTTATATATTTGTGCTTACATATAAACAAATATAAATATATGATGATATCAAGATCAACTATATTGTGAAAGGCTAATTGTTTAACAAACAGTTTATTAGAAAATGATAATTATTGAAGTTTAATCAGTGATTTGTTCTTTAAGCCATTGATATTAAAAGTATGCTCAATAATGATCACATGTGTATTAACCAATGATATTTTATATAAAATAGATGTCTTACTTCAATCCTAAAAATGAAGCCCTTTTTGTCCTTTTTATAAATTAAATTTGTAAACAAATACTATTTAACTATTTTTTTATATATAAAGTAAATATATTTTTAATCTATATATGTAATATATTTTAAATTTTTATATGTTATCTATATATGTAAAAGTGTTTACGATAAAAAAGGGATTTTATATAAAATATCATTGGTTAATACACATGTGATCATTATGGAGCATACTTTTAATATCAATGGCTAGATGTCAAAACCAATATAAATGTAGTCAAAATAATTTTTCAGTATTTACATGATTAGATGTTTATTTAGTTATTTTCGATAAAAAAGGGATTTAAATTTAAAATAGAAATAAACCTTAAATAAACCTTCATAAGTACTTTATTTATTATAATATGTTTTTGAATTATCTTTAATTTATTGGTAAATTTTCACTCGTATTTTTAACTTTTATTTCACACACCTTAAGCTTTAACACTTTTTACAAATGGCAAATTATATTTTCAAATAAAAAAAGCGACATCATTTTTTGTTTAATAAAAAACCGAAAGTTAGACATCTAGTTTATATAATATATCATCTAGTTTATATTATATAGTTTGTTCTGGGGTTGTCCGTCAAATATTGGTATTTTGAAAAAACGGAGCCGGAGGTATGTGATTTTTGAAAAAACGGAGCCGGAGGAACGTGATTTTTGAAAAAACGGAGCCGGAGGTATGTGATTTTTGAAAAAACGGAGCCGGAGGTACGTGATTTTTGAAAAAACGGAGCCGGAGGTATGTGATTTTTCATATGTTCAAATTAATCATATTTCTGAAAAGTCTCATGACTTATCCGGTAAAAAAATCATCTGGTTTTGTTAAAAACAAAAAGTCCAGATCACAAGTGGAATTTTAAAAAATAAAAGTCTATACAGTTAATTTCTTTTGTATACGGGTCTCTATGTACTGAAGATACAAATTAAATTAGCAGAATCAATGCATTGGTTATGCATTGATGCTATTAAATTTGGTTTGGATGACTGGATTATTAAGGATGTGGATTATTATGGTCCAACATTCATAACGTACAATAATCTTATTTAAATAATCTTATTTGTTTGTTTTAGTTTTTTGAATGATCTTAATATGTCTGCCTTTTTATTTAAAAAATTATTGGTTTTTGGCAAGAAGATGCCACTTGCTCAAACGGTCAAGGGTTTGAGTGAAATATAAGTAGTTCGGATTGGAAGAAAAAAAAAACCTAACAAAGTAATCATTAGTCTTAAAGAGAGCTATTTACAAAAAACAAATTAAGATTCTTTGCTTAGTGAAAATGTACCATTTCAGTTTCTTTATCTACCATGCAATTCATGTTATTAAAAAATATATTGTCTTTGCCAAAATAACAATTGTAAAAAAATAACTTTCCAGAAATCTGAACTTAAAGATATATCTTTTGAGGTTAAAACTATACATATTTTTTTTCCATTATGCCATGATTGTGTGTTTTAAATTAATTTTGTTTATTTATTTAATAAAAAATATTTTTGGGGCAGTTTCATTAGTTTTGCATTTTATTGAGGTATTTTTTATTCTATTTCAGATAATGTTGATAAAGGATTTACAGTCAATAATCTTTCGAAAGCAGAAAAACTTAGGTATGCATCAAATAGAAAATTAGCGCAATTTCTGGTATTTGTGGTATTTCTATTTGTTCATTCCGAATGTTTTTTATAAAAAAGACGTTAACTCAAAGTCATTTTAGCTAAAATATAACGTTAACCTAAAGTATTTTTTCTTCAAATTTAACGTTGCTCTTACGTCTTTCCCACATAATATAGCTAAAATGTAACGTTGTCACAAAGTCATTTTACATCGTTGCAATAACGTTAGCAAAATGATGTTTTTTCGGTGCTTCATTTATAACATTATGCTACACCTGCATTAAAATAATAGAATAATGATAATATTTCTATATTGATTAATAGCAACACTATAAATGAGTACTCTACATTATGTTTTCTTGGATTATCTATCACTACTGGCCTCTAAAAAAATACATATGTTTATTTAAGGAAGAATATACAAAGAAAAAAACTTTAAACATATATATATATATATATATATATATATATATATATATATATATATATATATATATATATATATATATATATATATATATATGTATATATATACATATATATATATATATACATATATATATATATATATATATATATATATATATATATATATATATATATATATATATATATATATATATACATATATATATATATATATATATATATATATATATATATATATATATATATATATATATATATATATATATATATATATATATATATATATATATATATATGGGTATGTATATATATATATATATATATACATACCCAGCAAACATGTCAACGTTGAATCAACGTTGAAAACCGGTCGCAAAAGGTGTTGCGGAAACGTTGACAAAGTAATCGATTTTGCAAAGATATGTCAGGTTGTTAAAGAGACGTTGATTAAACGTTGTAGCGTAACGTTGAAAAAACGTTGCAAAAGTGTCTCAACTAAACGTTGAAAAAGCGTTACTTAAAAAGCGTTGCATAGGCGTCGCAACTTAACGTTGAAAAAACGTTACTTGAAAAGCGTTACCTTAACGTTGTTAAAGCAGTCGATTTTGCAAGGATTTGTAACGTTGGTAGTAAAACGTCGTTTTAACGTGACTCAAAGACGTCGAGCAAAGGTTGAAATATAACGTTAAATCAACGCTCAAATGCGCTGGAGAAAATATCGCAAAATATTATTAAACGTGATTAAACATGGTTATAATGTATATTGAATATGCAAATAAAACAAAATTGTATGTTGAACTCTGCACTTGCAATATTTCCAAAGTCAATTTTTAATACAAATAGTAATATACAATGAAAAACATAAAAAATATACAATTTATTTATATAAAATTTACAATTTATGGATAAAAATAAAAACATCTTTTTTAAGATTTATGTGTGTGAGTGAATTTACAGGATTTACGTGTGTGAGTAAAATTTATGTGTGTGAGTGGATTTACAGAATATCGTATCGATAAGCCAGGATATCATTGAGATACAGAATCTAAATCAAAAAATAAAACTTGTATCATTATCAATCTGAAAGCAAATGTTTAAAAAATGTTATTGAATTAGTATGATTATTATTAAATTTAAAAAGTAAAAATAAATAAATATATATATATATATATATATATATATATATATATATATATATTTTTATAAATTATGTATATATATATATATATATATATATATATATATATAAATTATGTATATATATATATATATATATATATACATATATATATATATATATATATATATATATATATATATATATATATATATATATATATATATATATATATATATATATATATATATATATATATATATATATATATATATATATATATATATATATATATATAGTCGTAATAGCATAAAATAAGTAATTGTTCTTAAAAATAACACGACGTTTTTTATTCTTGAAATGTTTTGTAGTAAACAACTGGGGTTGATATTTGACTGGGGTCGCAGCCGGGTTTGATAAAATATACCTGGGGCCAGGGCCGGGTTTGAGACCAGGCTGCATAAACATTTATACATCCTAAAGTATATTTTTTAAATTTAAAATTCATGCTATATTTTGTATATATATGCATATATGAACATAATTGTGATCAACATGATCATCATAATCATCATAACCATCTTCATCATCATTATCATCATCGTCATCATCATCATCATCATCATCATCATCATCATCATCATAATCATCATGATCATCATTATCATCAACAGCATAAAAGCGGAAAGCTTGACAATGATAATAAAAATTATGTTGATGTTGTTGATCATCATCATGATAATCATCATCATCTTTATTATGGCAATATATAAGGCACACTATTCAAATTTTCTTACTTCTACCACAACCATTTTATACTGAAGTTGCTACCACTCTACATATTAATACCTGAATTACTTTAACTTTTTCAAAAAAAAAAGATTGTTTGATACAACGTTTTTTCTAATCTGTCTAAGATTATGCCTACTTTTTATATCTTGTTAGTCACACCACACATCCATCTGATCATTTTCTCTTTCGGCAAATACTACACTATATAAATACTAAAGTTTATACAACAATGAAAGGATATTGTATGCCAGCATCTAAACAAATAGCAAACAAATATGCTTATATCTATAGTATGTGTGCAAAAAGTGCATCTTGGAAGCTTATATTGCTTCTGGAATAAAAGTTTGGAAGCTTTTATTACTTCTCTTCAGTTTTAAATCAAGCCTCATTCTACTCTACATCTTTCAACATTAACTACGTTTTTCAGCTTTTTTATAAGAACATCTCTCTTAAGAAAAAATTGTCCTTTTTATTATTGCAATAATAAAGTGTATAAATAAAGTCTTGTCTGATGTAAATCTCTGTTATTCTCAGTTTACTAAACCTTGTATCTTGTATCGATTCTAGAGACTTTTGGTTAGACAACAAAATTCATTTATTTACTACAAAAAAATATAGCAATATTGTTGGTATTCCTATATTGACAAATAAAAATCCTATAATTATTATAACATATTATATAATAATAATAACAATAATATATATATATATATATATATATATATATATATATATATATATATATATATATATATATATATATATATATATATATATATTATATATATGTATATATATATATATATATATACATGTATACATATATAAATATATATACCTATATATATATGTATATGTATACATATATATATATATATATATATATATATATATATATATATATATATATATACATATATATATATATATATATATGTATATATATATATATATATATATATATATATATATATATATATATATATATATATATATATATATATATATATATATATATAAATTTTGCAACTAAAAATAGCCATGTATCCTTACATTAATTAACTAAATAAAACTTACTTCAATAGGTGTAACTATAAATCATCAATTTAAATCATATTATGTACTTCGTTCATAAAATGCAAACCAGTTAAAACCAAATCATTCCTCGATCTTTGATCAACCAGAACTTTACTAAATAAATTTATACTGGTAATCAAACTACCACAAGTCAAAAAATTTAGACAGTATTATTGAAATCAGCTTTGACCAATAGTTAATATTAAATTTTTTTTTTATTCTTTACTATATAAAAAACAAAGAAAAGTTAAATCCGAAGAGAAACAAAATTATTCACAAACATAATTACTTATATTCTTCTTCGGAGTCCTCTTTAGTGGTGAAATTAAATCCTGCACATACTTCTTTATCTATTAGTAATTATTTAGTAAAATAAATATAAATAAAATTATGTAAAAACAAAAAAGTAGAATAAGTGTAAACAGATTACAATATATATCTAGGCAGTAATAATACCATAACCAGATTCAAACTATTACTTATTCCGGAATAAAAATAAAATAGTTTATTTGATATAATACTTCACCGTTAAAATAAAGCTATAATAGTTTTTTATTCATATAAAACAATTAAAATAGCAATAACTACTGTAAAATTTAATGACCTCCAGTTACTTTAACTCTTTTAAGTCTAAGATTGTTGCAGGAGTCAATGATTGAAAAATTATTATAGGTAGCTTTCATTGCATGAACACAAGTTGACCAAAATAACCATCCATCTTTTTTCGAACAAGATGGAACAACTGCCTCTGCTTCAAACCTAATGTATATGTAAATTATGTATATATAAATCTTTATATATACATTATTTACACACACACACACACACACACACACACACACACACACACACACACACACACACACACACACAAACACACACACATTTATATATATAAATATATATATATATATATATATATATATATATATATATATATATATATATATATATATATATATATATATATATATATATATATACATACATATACATATGAATATATAGTTTTTATGTGTATACACATAGCTGTCATGTTTTAAAAATGTTTACAATTTTATACCACTGGATATTTGTCCACTAAAATACCTCTATTGAGTAAAAAAGTTTTTTAATGATTTATTACTCTGACATCTAACTTAAAAATGTACAAATTTGGCCACTGACTGAGCTGAATTTTATTCTGTATCGATATACTTTTATATATTTATGTTTGTGTTAAGCAATTTTTAACAATCTTTAACTATTTTTCTTAACTTATAAAATAAAAACTATTTAAAAAGTTAGAAGCTTGGTGTATTTTAAATTACTAATGAGGAAAAAAAAGTTATTAAATTATTTTTAAATGCAGGTTGGAGATAAATTTCTCTTCAAAATTCAGAAAACTCCTGCCAAATGGGAGAGACTTCATAGGTCTGTATTCAGATACTTAATAAAACTAGTATACAAACTCTTAATAAAGTAATAAATAAATGTTAAACTATATAAATATTAAATTCCTCATAAAATATTAAACTCCTAAATATTGATAATAATTCTTTAATAAAATTTCCAAACCATTATACCAACTTTTATATTTTTCAATAAAAATTTTTAGACATGACAATATTTTGTAATTAAAAAAAAAATGTACTTATTATAAACACAATATGCCTCTCTTACATACATATATATATATATATATATATATATATATATATATATATATATATATATATATATATATATATATATATATATATATATATATATATATATATATATATATATATATATAATATATATATATATATATACATATATATATATATATATATATATATATATATATACATATATATATATATATATATATATATATATATATATATATATATATATATATATATATATATATATGTATATATATATATATATATATATATATAAACAGATTAGATATATGTTTAAACATATATCTAATTTGTATATGTTTTCTATGAGATTACTATGTAAACATCTGTTAAGGTTGTCTCTCTCTATTATGCTTGCAATATTCTTACTCCTGATTTTATTCTACACCTTTATAAATTTATTTACCCATCTTTAAATGAAATATTGTTTTAATATTGGGGTACTTCCTCTAACTATGTCTTTTCCTTCAAGCTCCAAAAATAAGTTGTAAACTTAGTTGGACCTGCTTTAGCAAGCAAGCTTATTCATCAACTATTGTCAATGTAAACTAACTTATGTTATTATTTACCAGTAATTTTTATCTTTGTTTTCAAACAATTCTCTCTCTATCATCAAACTCCAAAACACAATTCTTGAAAAACAAGAAGCTGAGTCAGGAAACAAGTTGAGCGTAGTACTATTAGAGATGCCATGGATACTGAACTCAGAAAAGTTAAATTATGTTGAAATTAAACCCATTAAAAATTCTAGAATGAAAAATGTTTTTATTAAAAATAAAATAAAATAAATCCAACTACACATTTAATGTATACTTGTTTTTTATTTTTCTTTTCTTCTTGAAAGTCGATCATCTTGTTGTCTTTAAGAACTCTAAATGGATTTTGGTTCAATAGACTGTCATTCTTTGAAGACATAACTGTAAATTTGAATTTAATTTCAAGTCAGTAAACTAGTTTTGAAAAATAAAGTTTGTATTTATTCCACACTTGAAGAACTCCGTATTGGGTGATAAAATTTGGCTAAAAAATTCAAATTCAAATCAATAAAATAGTTACAACAAATAAAGTTTATACTTTTGTTTATACTTAAAGAACTTCATTAAATGTATTAAAACTTGACTAAATTAATAATGCTAAATCAAAAATGCTGCTGTAAACTTATAAACATTAACTATTATAAACATGGCTTGAAATTTAAAAATAAGATAAAGTTAAACATTATTGTAAGTTTATAAAAATGAATGAAAACGAACAATTATAACAGTAAATACATAAAAAATAAAGTGATCTTTAAATAAGAGGTGTTTCAGTTGTGAAAAGATAATGCCTGAAGTTGTTTTATAATTAAAAAGACGAAGAAACAAGTTTAATTTATTTTGTTGAATACTTTTTGAAATTTCCTGGATTTTAAATAGCGAATTTGTATAGTTTCCTGGATTTTATATAGCAAATTTGTATAGTTCTTACTGTGTTTTGAAACATTTAAAAGCAATTTTAGTGCACTCCTTCCAATTACATCTAGCTTTTTCATCAAAGCAGAATTATTTTCACATATCTCCATACCATAAGTTAATGTAGGGACTGCTAATATTTTATATATATAGGAAATAGAACTTGGGTGGGCAAACCGGATTCTAGATTGAATAAGAGTTTTAACAGCAGCTCTAAAGTTTGAAATTTTTTCATTAACATTTGTATTATTGAGTGAAGCAAAAGTTGAATGTTTAGTATCCCATGTGAATCCCAGATGTCTAAGTTTATTCTGAAGATTTATTTTATTACTACACCTTTTCAAGATGTAAATGAGAACATGAAAGTTGTAATTAAGAAGTCGTAATATGTAATTAAGAAACACAACATGTAATTGAGAAAACGTTATATGTAATTGAGAAACACAACATGTAAATAAGAAGTCGTAACATGTAATTAAGAAACACAACATGTAATTGAGAAAACGTAAGATATAATTGAGAAATCATAATATGTAATTGAGAAATCGTAACTTGTAATTGAGAACACATAAATTAAAATAGCAAATTCACAGTCTAAGTTTGTAGGTTGTTACAAAAGGTCTTTTTGGACATGAATCTAAGTTATAATCTTAAATTTTGCTTTTGTATGCACAAGTAATAATAATGGAATTGAAAGATCGTTGTGTTATATGCCAATACACTATGACCCGAAAGTCTGTGATTAAGCTAAATCCGTGTCAACATTTATGTCACCAAATTTGTTTACGTCCAGTTCTGGAACAACCAGATTCAAGTTGTCCGATTTGTCGGCATGAAATACACACAACTGAACAAGTTGAAAGGGGCCATCCATAAAGTACGTACGCATGTATTGGGGGAGGGGGGGTTATCCTGAAACGTACGAATGCGTACAGGGGGGGGGAGGGTGTTAACGACAGCGAGTACGTACGCGGTTTAACTATCTCTCCTAAACTTCTTTATAAAAACATTGAATTTCACGTGTTTTAATGTTTTTTTATAAAAACATTGAATTTCACGTTAAAAAATCATAATATAATATATGTTATTTTTTTTTCTGACTTCAATTACAATTGTTTTTTATTTTTCTTTATAAGTAACGAGGAGAGAAAAAATCGAGCTATAATATCTCCAAATAATGTTTTCCATTTTTTGCAACATAATTCGACTGTAGCAAGATGAAAAGTAACAAAACTGTTATCAAAGAAAACTTCTTCTGAATTCTTTTTTTAATTACGAACCTGGTTTTTCCCATTTCTCTTAAAAGGTTAATATTTTGTTTTTAAAAAACAATAAAATAAAAAAAGGTAATATTATTATTTTTTTTATCATTAAAGTTAATATTAACATACATTAAGATTGCTAAGGACAGGCGAAGCGAAATGAACATACATGTGACAATGCATATGACAATCATTGTGATAATTGTAAAAAATAGTTACTTTAAATGCTGATGGAAACCAACACTTTTTATGATGCAATGTAACGGCAATTATCTTGAGGAAACTAAAACAAAAAAAACTTTTATGATTCTATTCGAAAACTCAATACGCCTCATTGGAAAAAAAACTTATTATTTATTATGACCAAGATGCCGCGCGGGAACGAGAAAAAATACCTTCAATTCCTTGAGTTATATAAAAAAGCATATTCAACACTTGAAAAACAAAAGCAGTATCAGCAAGCACAAGAGTTGTGGAAAATAGTAAAAAACAATGAATCCTTGTATGAAAAAAAAATAAATGAGTTAAAAGAAAAAGTAACAAAGTCGAAAGTCACTTATGTCATTCTGGGGAAATACCATTTCACCACCTAGCAAAAAGAAAAAAGATATCCATCCAGCGCCGTCTTCGTCAAATGAAACACGAAGTTTCCTAAATGCAACTATGACAGAGCCTGCAAGGATTGAAATAAGTAAGCTAATTTCTGTAATATTTTAAAAACTTTTTCTCTCTTGTGATTTTCTATACATTAGGCCGGGTGAATAAAAAAGAGCAATTGCTTTTTCTCAGTAACTGTTCAGCTTTGCGTGAATAAAAATTTGACCAAGATTGCTCAAATTTTTATTCACGTAAAGCTGAACAATTTACTCCAACAACGCTCAACTTTACGTAAATAGAAATTTGAGGATAATTGCTCAATTTTTTATTCACGTAAAACTGAACAATTACTGAGTAAAAGCAATTGCTCTTTTTTATTCACCCGGCCTACTGAGTTTAACCGTATTGTAAATCAAACTACGTCGTACGACCTTAGAGCAGTCACAGAAATTTATAATGTTGACCACTAGACCTATTTTTCTATATCCAAAATAAATTGATTAGTAGTAATTGTCAAGAATTTATAATAGCTTATTTTTTGGCATTTTTTAATTTAGATTTAACAGACAACAAAAAAGAAAGAGAAAAACCGGCACAAGTTAGGAGTCGAAAGAAAATCTCAGATCTTGAATCACAACGTGCATCCTTGATAGTCGTACGTGATTCTGGTTTATCTACCGTAACAAAGGAACAAATAAACACTGTGAAAGAAACCATAAGAAAAGAAAAAACAAAATTGTACAGGTAAGATAATTTAGTTATGTATTTCTTTATTTGGTATTTCATTTTAGAATGCTTAACTGTCAGGTTTCTAGTAAATATCAAGAGATATATGTTAAATAATACAGAGTTTATTTATGCGTATAGAAAAGCGTCTTGGCTATAAAAACCAAACATTTTTAAAGACAGAAACTTTCATAATCTTATTGTAAATAATACTTTCTTATTTGAAATAAGAATTTGCGTACTTTTTCTTTGCAACATTAGCTAAAAGTTGCGAAACCTTAAGTATAGAAGTTTTTATAACGGAATCAAAGCTTTACTGATATTTCGTTTTCAGATTGATTCGTGAATCAGCTTGTCAAAGAAAACGAAGACAAAAACTTAAAGAGAGCATCGAAACTGTGTGTCAGAACATCCCTGAAGCATCAAGTGCTTTGAAACAGTTTAGTCGAAACTATACTGGACGACCGCGTCTCGAAGTTGACCAACCAGAGCTTTTATCAACAATTATAAAAATTGTGCAAAAATTATCAGCAGCTGACGAACGTCGAAGAACAGAATGTCTCCGTAGCGTCTCCACTTTAGATGACCTTCAGGAAGAGTTGACAAAGATAGGCTTTACCTTGAGTAGGAGTGGTTTGTACCTTCGTCTTTTACCACGACGTGGAAACACTTCTGAAGGAAAAAAACATGTCAGCACAGTTCCAGTAAAGCTGTTACGTCCAGAAAACTCAATGCGAAAAAAAAATGACGATAGAATGTTTGCCAAATCATTCATTGACGACATGTTCGAAGTTTGCAAATTGTTTGGACCAAAAGCTGTGCTTTTCATTTCCAACGATGATAAAGCCAGGGTCCCATTGGGTATTGCTGCAGCAAGCCTTCAAGCGCCGTTGCTGATGCATATGGAATACAAGGTCAAACTCATGGATCACGATTTTGTCGTTAGCTCACAGCACAAATTGATCCCATCAGTGTATGGTGTATGCGAAGTTAACAATACTGGAAATGTATCATACAGTGGGGACACTTTCATACGCATAAGAAGTGCGAAACACGATACATCAAATGCTTTTACACATGCTTTTGATGTTAGAGAGCTTTTTAAAACCGAGTTGGTTAAACGTAGACCAATTATGTTAATGGAGACTGATGGAGCTCAGGATGAAGCACCACGTTTCCCTAAAACCTTAGCAACTGCTGTTGACCTCTTTCGCTTGCTTAATTTAGATGCCCTTCTTCATGGTGTGAATGCAGCTGGCCTTTTAGCCTTTAACCCCGTAGAACGAAGAATGGCACCTCTTTCTCGTGATTTGGCTGGAATAGTCCTTCCTCATGATTTTTTTGGCAATCACCTTGATTCTTCTGGAAAAACAATCGACTATGAATTGGAGGTAGAGAACTTTCAAAAAGCGGCTGACGTTTTATCCCAAGTTTGGGAGAAAACCGTCATTGACGGGTATCCTGTTCATTGCCAGGCTGTACCAGTTGGGAAAGCATATGAACCACCAATTCCAGATCCTGTTTGGGTAGACAAACATTGTCAGCAATCGCGATACAGCCTACAAATCGTAAAATGCCAAGAGGAGTCATGTTGCACACCGTTTGAAACAAACTGGCTGAAAAACTTCCCCCAACGTTTCATTCCATTTCCGGCAATCTACGAATACTGCGAGAATGGTTACAAAGCAATGGAACCGTCTCGATATTTTAAAAACGTATCAAAACAATCAACGTTTGCACCACTGACACATCGACTTTTGCTACATGATATACCTATAGAAGGATTAAAATACAAAATTATACCATTTGATCTGTATTGCCCATCGTTAAAGGAAAAGCTCTCAAACGGAATTTGCGACAAGTGCAATAAATACTGGCCAAGCGAGGCTGCAATGAAACGGCACAAGAAAGCACATACACAAAAAAAAAACACGGTTGAAATGGAGAGTGAGGATAGTGTAAGTGACAGTGAATCTATTAATAAAAGTAAAGATATCAGTGAGGAGATTGATTATAAAAGTGTGGAAGCAGAGTTCATGCCTGTATTTGATAACATATTTGATTTATTTAAGTCACCATTTGAGGAAATATGAAATATAAATACTCGCAACAAGAATTCTTTTTTAGAATATTTTTCTTTCTTTAACAAAAACTGGAAAGTTATTAACAAATAACTTTCCGGTTTTTAATTAAGCACAGAGAAATTAACAAAATGTTTTTTTGTGTTTAATGTTTTGAAAAATTAATGCGTTGGGGAAGGAAGGGGAGGAGAGCCGGAACTTGTAATAAAAAATGCGTACGTACGCAGAAGGTGGGGGAGGTCGTTGAAAGCATACAAGTGCGTACAAGGGGGGAGGGGGGGTCCTAAATCAGTGGTTTTACTGCGTACGTACTTTATGGATGGCCCCAAAGGAAACGTTACTTTTTATCTTCTCCAAATGACAGGAGAAGAGTTGTTGAATGTGCGGAGCGATTTGAAGATTGGGTGAATCTCGCGCAAACGCTAGGTATCAAATATAAGACAGCATACAATTGGGTTCGCAGAGGAAATTCAAATTTCATCGGAAAAGGAGGTTTTAAACCGAAAAAGTTGACCGAAGATCAAATCGAAGAAACATTAACATGGATTGAAAATGATTGTCAATTAACATTGGTGGCCATTAAAACAAAGATATTAAGACAATTTAACATAAACGTTAGCACAACAACAATAGAAAATTACCTCGAAGGCAGATTGTTCTCATTAAAAAAAGTGCACAAGGAGCCTTCTACAATGACCAGTTATGAAAACAAACAAAAAAGAGCTGAATATGTTAGAAACATCAACGAACATATCACAAATGGTCGTCAGATAG